AGATAAATTTATAAATAATTAATAAAAATAAATTCTTAACCCTCAACCTCTTAAACTTAAGTTTGATGGTGAGACCATTTGTCCTTTAAATTACACACTTTATCTTTTTTTTTTTTTTGACAGGGAAAATTTTATTAGTAGTGTTAGTATCAAAATTGAGATTCAAAATTGAGAAGGGTGCAATTCCACCGACTGCCAGTGTGGGCAGCAGTGGACATTAGAGCACAACGGGGAATGCTACACGCTCTACTTTTTTAAATTTCATTTAAGCTCAATCCGAACTCCCTCTAGACTTTCTGAGCTATTTTCTTCCACTAAACTCCAACAACTCTAGCCTTGCCTTCGAATGTCCACACTCCATGCAATTGCACAACATACCCCCCCGCCAAAAATCCTAACCAGCATCCATGGCTTCCACTTTCCGCCCTCTTTTTCTCTTTCTCCTACTCCTCCCTCTCTCCGCCATTGCCAACCTCCCTAAATCTAAAACCCTTCTCAAATCAACTATCCTTTCCTCCACCACTACATTCCACCTCAATGACACCCCATCAACCACTACTTCGAAGTCACCAAACCCATCAGACTTCCCAAGACCCAACCTTGCGTCTATCCCATTCTCCACCATGATTTTGGCTATACATATGTGTAAGGGCAGGTCCGAGGTGCCCAACCTCGGACGTACGACAGTAATTTCTTTATGACCGAAGTGAAGGATAATTCCAAAGATTCCCGCTCAAATAGCTGCATGACAACAGCGATAAGTATGCCCGCACCTGATTCTTTATAATGAGCTGCACAGTAGCTATGATGGGCGTCCTTGCATCTGAATATCTCTCAAATTCCCGGTCCCAAAATAACCATTTGGATACACATCAGGCTCCGACTATCTTGCTTGGCATGCCATGTGGGTTCCTCACTGTAGCCTATAAATACCCCCCAGGGGTTACGTCAAAAAGGTAATTGAAACCAACCCTAAGCTCCTTTTTTCTCCGCTCTAAAGGTAGCCCCAATTATTGCTGACTTAAGCATCGGAGTGTCTACCCCAAGAATCATCTCGGGGCTTTGCAAGTCAATCCGGAGTGCAGACGCGAACTGAAGAAGGACATCTGGTTTTGGTGCAATTACATTTGGTGCCGTCTGTGGGAATCCGAACTGAAAGCTCTTTTGTTGCTTTCTCATCATGGTTAACACTCGATCAGTCCGAGCTGGAAACTCATCTCAGCCTCTTGGACGAGGCCAGGTCCCTAGCAACCTTCCACCTCACCTTCCACCTCCGATCCCACATATGTTCCCTTCTGTTGATCATGTAGAAGGAGAAGATGAAAATCAACCACATAACTCAGCCCACAACTCAGCTTCCACCGCCAACCAAGACGTAGTTGCAGCTCAGCTCGCTACCATGCAACAACAGTTTGGTGTTTTTCAGTTAGTACTGGCTCAGCTCTTAGCCCGGAACAACCCTGGTGATCCCCTCATCAATTTACTTAACCTTGCTCCACAACCCTTAGCTCGACAGCAAAACCCTGAACTAGTTCAGCATGCTCCTGCTCTTAGTGAATCTCAAGGTCAATCTCATGTAGAACCAGTTCAGCAACCCCTTCATGATGATGTCACTCGACGTCTAGACAGCTTATAAAAGCTAGTGGTTGAACAGCGAGGTGCCCCACCTCCACACCACGCTGCTGACTCCATACCCCACCCTCTGAACACCAACATCACACTGGAACCCTATCCCACTAGTTTCAGGATACCACAACTTGAGACTTATGATGGGACGAAAGATCCCGATGATCACCTACATGCTTTCTACTCTTGCATGCAAAATCATAATGCCTCTGACACGTTGATGTGTAAAATCTTTCCCTCTACTCTCCGAGGTAATGCTCAAACCTGGTATTACAGTCTACCTCCGAGGTCCATTAGCTCTTATATAGAACTGGCATCTTCTTTTGCCATAAAGTTTTCCAATAGAAGGTTGATCAATAAAACTACTTCTGAGCTGATGTGAGTTAAACAGAGGGACGGAGAATCTTTGAAGAATTATATGAGCAGATTCAATGATGCAGTACTGGAGGTTAGCTCCTTCGACCAGGCTATGGGAATTACAGCTGTGATCTCAGGTCTTAACCATGAGAGATTCAAAGATAGTTTGCTCAAACGCCCTGCCACCACCTTTTGCGAGGTGAATGATAAGTCTCTGAAATTTATAACTGCTAAGGAATATGCCATGTCGTAGAACCCAACTCCCTCTAAGAACCAAAACCCCGACTGGAGAGATGAGAATTCGAGCAAGAACAGATGAGGATAGCACAGAACCGAGGTCCGATGTTGACCTCCACACCGAGATTCGGAAGGTCGAACTCAGCACCCCCACAACAATCTGCAGGTAAACCTCCAGTTACTTGGACCCCTTTTAATTTGCCGAGGTCACAGATTTTTATGCAGAATGGACTTAAGGCGTCCCGGTTCAATGAGAACTGCTGCTGCTAGCCGAGACCATACCAGATATTGTGATTTTCATCAAGATCACGGTAATACAACAGAGCAATGCAACAGTCTGAGGTTTGAGTTGGAAAGCCTAACTCAGAAAGGAATGTTGAATGAGTACATCCAGAGAGCCGAACAACCAAGATTTGTCAGAGAACAGGGACAACAGCCTCAAGGAGTCCGTAATCCACCGAACAGGCAAGGAGTGGGACACCAACAAGCCCCACCTCCTCTTCCACCACAAGCCAGAATTATACACATGATTACAGGAGGACTGGAAGCAGGGGGGATGAGCTCCAAGCAAAGGAAGTTGTATGTCAGAGAGGTCAAGCACCAGAACCGAGCTTAGAAGAGGAAAATTGATGATGCTGACTGGAAAGAGCAACCAATCACTTTTACACCTGCTAATTTTGAAGGGGTGGTAACACCTCACAATGATTCTTTGGTCATCTCTGTCATGATCAACAATTGTCAAGTCTAGCGTGTACTTGTTGACACTGGCAGTGCACTTGACATCATGTACTACCACTGCTTTGAGAGCTTAGGGCTCGACCCAGCTTTACTATAGCGTTATGATGGTCCCATATATGCTTCAACAACTAACCAGTTCTAGTCGAAGGGGTCCTAACCATGAACGTTGCATTGGGAAGCGGCCGAACCTATGTAACTCCTTCAATTCGGTTTCTGGTGGTTAAGATGCCTTCTCCTTTCAATGTTGTCATTGGCAGACCCACATTAACAGAGATCCGAGCTGTGGTCTCTCAATCTCATCTCTGCATGAAATTTCCTACCCCTATGGGTACAGCAACACTCAGAGGCAATCAGGAAGTAGCAAGACATTATTATCTCACTTTGGTCACAAGGCCACAGAAAGATAAAGACCAACCAGCAAAAAATCCTCCCCAGGAAATCCATGACAATCGACAAGTGATGGGGGTTGAAATCCTCGATAACCGACCTGAAGATGAAACCTTAGCTGCTCCGGGTGAAGATGTTGAAGAGGTACAGATTGATGACAGAGATCCGACCAACAAAACACAGATGGGAACTCGGTTGAACCCTGAGAACAGAGCAGAGCTGATAACCTTTCTTCGAGCTAACAAAGATGCTTTTGCATGGACCTCAGCAGATATGCCAGGAATTCCCACTTCGGTTTCTTAACACAAACTCAGCACCAATTCACTCAAGAAACCAGTGGCCCAGAAGCGGCACTTCTTTGGGGTGGAGGTTAAAGGTCATCAAAGAAGAAGTTGAAAAACTCTTACAAGCTGGCTTCGTTAGACGGGTCGATTATTGTGAATGGGTCGCCAATCCTGTGTTGGTGAAGAAAGCAAATGGCAAATGGCAGATATGCATTGATTACACTAACCTCAACCAGGCATGCCCAAAAGACTGTTACCCAATGCCAAACATTGACAAGCTAGTTGAGGCAGCTTCTGGAAATGAGAGATTAAGTCTCTTGGATGCATACTCTGGCTACCACCAAGTACCAATGGCTCTTGAGGATGAAGAAAAAACATCGTTCTATGCCGGCGATGAAATCTATTGCTATGTGATGATGCCTTTCGGCCTGAAGAACGCAGGTGCCACTTACCAGAAGATGGTTACCATCGTATTCTGAGCTCAAATAGGACGGAATCTGGAAATTTATGTTGATGATATAGTGGTGAAGAGTTTGAAAGCTAAAGATCACTTAACCGACCTCGAGGAGACATTCAACAATCTCAGAAAGAACAGAATGAGGTTAAATCCAGCAAAGTGTATCTTCGGTGTGGAGTTGGGAAAATTTCTAGGCTTCATGGTGTCAAGAAGGGGGATTGAGGTTAACCCCGAGAAGATTAAAGCAGTAGCCGAGATGGAACCACCGAAGTCAGTAAAAGATGTATAGTGGTTGACAGGGAGAGTGGCAGCTCTTCATAGATTCATCTCGAAGTTCGCAGATAAATGCCTGCCGTTCTTCAAGATCATGAGATTGGCAACCTAGAAGGATGAATTAGGCAACTGAAGAAGTTCGAATGGAATTCATAATGCCAAGCTGTTTTTGACGAGCTGAAGTCTTATCTTAGGTCACCCCCTTTGCTGACAAAGGCCAATGATGGAGAAATCCTTTACCTGTACCTCAGCATATCAGATGAAGCCATCAGTTCTGTATTAGTGAGGGAAGAGGGGAAGCAACAGAAGCGAGTTTACTACACCAGCAGCATGTTGCATGGAGCTGAAATCAGATATTCTATTGCTGAGAAAGCAGCCTTAGTAGTTGTCACTTCGGCCAGGAAACTGAGACCGTATTTCCAATCACACCCAATAATAGTCCTCACGGATCAGCCCCTCAGACACATTTTGCAGAAGCCAAACAAGATTGATAAATTGGGCAGTTGAACTGGGAGAATTTGAGATCACATTTCAGTAGAGGTCAGCAATCTGAGCTCAGGCTCTTGCAGATTTCATAGTAGAATGCACCTCCGCTCACTCTGGTTCCCAGTCCGAGGTGGACAGCTGGATTCTATATGTTGATGGAGCATCAAGTAACAAAGGTTCTGGCGCTGGTGCAATCCTACTTGGCCCAGATGGGTACCAAAGCGAACACGCTCTGAAATTTAATTTTGATGCCACCAACAATATGGTTAAGTATGAGGCTCTGCTACTCAGCTTACAGCTAGCGACAAAACTAAAGGTTGCAGCGATACAAATATATAGTGATTCACAGCTAGTAGTCACTCAGGTCAACTCAATCTGTGAAGTGGTTGATCCTGTTATGATGAAGTATGCAACTCTAGTGGTCGAGCTGAAATCCAAATTCTAGAAATTCCATTTGAGCAAAATACCTCAAGCTGAAAATAAGCAAGCAGATTCCCTCTCTAAATTTGCTTCTAATGGCAACCAAAGCTCCAGATCGGTTTTTATTGAAATTCTGGACTAGCCTAGCTTCTTAAAGCCAAAAATGATGGAGATCAGCACAGAACCTAGCACACCGAGCTGGACAGATCCAATTGTCTCCTTTCTGGGAGACGAAACAGTGCCTACGGATAAACAAGAAAAGATGAGGTTGAGGAAGAAAGCATCTCGGTATACCCTTGTTAATGACGTCCTCTATAAGAGATCTTTCTCACTCCTTCTACTCCGTTGCCTGAACCCTTATGAGGCTGAATACGCACTTCGGGAGGTGCATGAAGGTGTCTGTGGAAATCACATTGGTGCTCGAACTTTGGCTCATAAAGTCCTTAGACAAGGATATTACTGGCCCAACATGTATAAAGATGCCACTCAGTTTGTACAGAGGTGTCAGAAATGTTAATTCTTTGCACATCTAATTCACCAGCCAGCAGAAGAGCTCACTACTCTGATCGCACCTTAGCCATTTGCTCAGTGGGGACTTGACCTTTTAGGTTCGTTTATGAAGGGGGTAGGAGGTGTAACCCATCTGATTGTTGGTGTGGATTATTTTACGAAATGGGTTGAAGCTCGGCCATTATCCAGTCTTACCTCCAAGAAGGTCGAATACTTTGTTTTCAGCTCAATCATCTGCAGATATGGGATCCCGAACCAGATTGTGGCTGATAATGGAACTCAGTTCAACTGCTCCTCATTCAGAGATTTCTGCTCTAGTTATGGGATCAAATTGCAGTTCACCTCGGTGTACCACCCGGAATCTAATGGGATGGTAGAGTCTGTCAACAAGGTTATACTCGAGGGGATAAAACCAAGGTTGGAGCTGCACAAGGCCAGGTGGGCAGACGAGCTCAACAACGTCCTCTGGGCATACAAAACCACAAGCCGAACTGCAACAGGTATTACTTCAAACTTAGTTTACTTGATCAACTTTCATATTATTTTACTTCTTCTACGGCTTTATCTTAGAACAAATGTGCATAATGCGTAAAGCGCATCCTAAATTTATAATTAACTGAAATAGGTGAAACACCCTACCACCTGGCCTTTGGAACCGAAGCAGTCATTCCTATCGAGATAAGAGTCCCAAGCTTCAGGGTCACCCATTTCGATGAAGGACGAAATGTACAACTACTTCGGGAGAACCTTGATTTGCTTGACGAAGTCAGAGAGGAAGCACGGCTTCGAACTCTTGTATACAAGTAGAAAATAGTCAACTTCTACAACAAACGAGTTTGACCCCGAACATTCAAAGTAGGAGACCTTTTAGGAAAGCTGGTCTAAAGGGTTTCGAAACTCGATTCGGAAAATTAGCACCAAACTGGGAATGCCCCTACACTGTAGCCGAAGTGCCGCACCCAGGCGCTTATATCCTACGGGACACTGAAGGCAAAAGGGTTCCTAGAGTCTGGAATGTCAATACCTTGAAGAAATTCTACCCTTAATACATTTCTTTCCATTGAACTTTGTCTTATTTTTATAATCGTCATTATTCTCTCTTTCTGCTCAATGTATATGCGAGCTCAATTCATTTATCTCATTTATGAATTTCACTTTACATTCGAAGTGATTCAGTTCTTTCTACCCTTCTATACGTTGGAAGTAGATTTCACTTATTTCTAAAGTTAGTTCATTGTGACTTATTCAGTCACTTCATTTTTTGGATTACGATTTTATTAATCAGTTACACTTTACTTTTGAAGTGATTTACTTTATCTTTTCTCATTTGTATAATTGAGGTCCGCCTCACGTACATCCGAAGTCAAGTCCCTTGCTGTTCATTTCATTGTGTCCGAGGTCAGATCCTTGTGTTAATTAAAGTCACTTTATTTTATCCGAAGTGATTTACTTAAAATAGAAATAACAACCAAACATCAAAATATGCAAGTCACAAATAACTTCAAAAATTTTATAAATTAATAAAAATCAATTACAAAATTGTTGTTTATTACAAACACAACTAACAAAAATAAAACAAAAAATCCTAAGCTAATCTGCTGAGGGAGGAGGGGAGGCTGAGCTTCAGCCAGGTCTGCCTGATTCTCCACTCCAGCACCTTGCGCCTTTTCTTCTTCTTCTTCCTCCACTACTACCAGCTCAGCATCAAAGGCTGGAGGGAAGATAGTGTGTCCATCTGCGTCACGCTCCCACCTCAGCTTGATCAGAGGTCGGAAGTCAGCAGAAAGACTTTCACCATCCTCCTCTACCCCTTTTTCTTGCTTGCCGAAGGTGATCGTCGTGACGTCCACTTCGGGATACTCAGCCTTCACCTTCTTTCTACAGTCGGTGAAAGCCAAAATTGCGGTCGGCAGCAGGTAGAGGTTGATGATGTTCTCAAAGGTGCTGGAGTTGAGGAAGTTGCCAATGTGCTCCTCCATTCTGTTGTAAACCAGCAGATTCACATTCTTCTTCAGCTCCGCCACTCCTTTCTTCATGTTCTCAATGTATTTGTCCTAAGCCTTGAGCTTGTCTTCACAGATCTTCCTCTTACGTTCTTCGAAGACAAGCCTCGTGCTCAAGGTATCATTATCATTTTGGAGTTCGGTTACTGATGGCAGAACTTCATCCAGTCTCCTCTGCGTATCTTTGTTCTTGTTTTGCAGCTCCTCCTTCTCTTTCTGCAGCTCCTCCTTCTCCTTCTACAGCTCCTCACATTGCCTCTGCAAGCTGGCACGATCTCTCACGCTCTTCGCATACTCATGTGCTAGAGCGTTAACCTAGCTTGCACTCTGTAATGCAAGCAGAAGTTAGAACTCAAACGCAGAAGTCAAAAAATAAAAAATAAAACATGAATAAACTGTGATTTCTTTACATACCTCTAGGGAGTGCCTCACAACACAAGCCCCTAGTTAGCTAACTACCTCATCCCTCGCTTGCCTCCTATCCACCTCTGGAAGAGTGGCATTCAAGAACCACTTCGCTCCAGTGATGTTGGTTGCATCGAATAAGCTCTTCTGGAACGAAGGGGGAGGGATGAGCTCATTGCCTTTGCCAGGGCCTCGCACCTCGGCCTCCTCCCTCTCCCTGACTTCAGGATCAACTTCCGGAGGAGAAGGCCGAGGCACGAACTCAACCACCTCATCCCTCCTAGCTTCGGGCTCGGCCACCTTCCTTTTCTTCCTTTGTAGTGGTGCCACCTCCTCACTCTCCTCATCACTGCTTCTCTTCACAGGCTCTAGCCTTGGCTGCATCTCCAAAGCCCAAGCGGAAGTGCTGGACAGCCGCTCCCTCTCTACCACCCCCTTTTCTGCCGCAGTTGAAGTCTTTGACTTCTTCCTTGGCTTCTTTAGGATAGCCAGCCCCTCAGCAACGTTCAGAAAGCCGTCCATTTCACCTGCAAAACAAACATAAATGTCAAAACACACCAACTAAAATCTCACTTGAATTGCACAAAACGAACATACACAAACCTTCGCTTAATGAGCTTGGCTCATAGAGCACAGCAGCCTTTATTGCCTCTGCACTGGTGAGGTACATGATATCCACTACCTCCTTTTCTTCCCTCACTAGCTTCCCTACGTCTTCCACTTCATCCTCATTCAACTTATAATTGTTCTGCTTGGCTTTCTTAGCTTTCCAAGCAGACAATTGTTCTACTTCAGCGTCCCTCCTACTCCACTCGGTGTCATCCACGAAGAAGAATTTTTCTTTCCATCCTTTAATGGATGACGGTCCAGCAGTGAATAAACTCCTATTCTCTTTGCTGGACGATCGAGGGCCGAAGTAGTACCACCCCTTCTCACCCTTACCCCCAGCCTTTATTATAAAAAAATGCTTAAACATATTTACAGTAGGGACCCCAACCCCCCGAACTTGGCAGTATACAATAAAGTCTATTATTACCCTTATGGTATTTGGGGTTAATTGGGTTATTCCTATACTATAATCTAATAATAACCCAACCAGTAATTTTGGAATGGGAAACCTAAGCCCTACAACCAAATAATGGACATACATGGGCATCTAGTGGTCTCGGGGTGTTGAGCATGCTCTCTCATTCACCCCTGCAGGCCTAATTAAGACATGGTGAGGAAGGTTACAGTTCTTTACCAGACCCCTAAGGCTACTCCTACTACCCAACTCACTTACATACCCTTTCACCTCAGACACTATGTCTAATTTTGGGTCGTAGCACCTATCTCCATTACCCTCAACCTCCATCACATTTGAGGGAATTTCTTCTTCCTCCTCTTTCACTACCTCCCGCTCTCTCCTTTCCTCCACTGTCCTCTCCGAACTAGATAGAGACGGACTACTCTCCGAGTCCATGCCACCGTACTCCAGGGGCATCACCTCACTTTCCACTACACTCATGGTCCCTTCTGAAGACATCTCCTCAATTGCTGCATAAAGTAGGAGGAGGAACGGAGTTAGGACCTATAAAAAATTCTAACAAACACTCAATACGTTCTCACTCCCAACCCTAACTTCCCTCAAAAAACCCAAAATCAAAAACAGAAAGGGAGAAAGGAGAATAGCACTTAGGTAAAACCAAAATAAAAAATTCATAAACTTTACCTGATTTTGGTCTTGGGAAACTGTTGTTGAAGTCTCAATCGAAGCGTAGACCGCACGAAACCGTAGAAATTTAGCAAGAATTTGGTAGCAAAATAGCGAGAGTAAAAACCCCTTTTTACAAAAGTATAGCCTTTTATACCAAAGGCAAAATACGTCTCAACGGCTGTGATTAACTCCATCTAACGACTGCAAAGACAGCGTTTCGAATTCGACGGTTAACCCCAAATGGCACCATTTCGAACTTGAAAGTTCGTTTTTTAAATCTGCCCGTTGGACTGTTACAGTTATTATTTTACAACGGCATTTATTACGTATGTTATTCAGAGGATAGCTGTCACGTCACGTGCTGCCTCTTTGTCAAGCTTCTCAGATGGGCCCACTTAAACCCATTTCAGCACTCTTGCTCTCTTTTATACATTGCAAAATTTGCAAGTGTTTTACTTCGGCAATCGACCTGATGGCTCCGGTCATGCTTGTCTCTTCGGCTATAGCCATAGTGACCCAATGTCACGTTTTACTTCAGTTACGGCCACAGTGACTCAGCGTTACATGTTTTACTTCGGCTTCGACCATAGTGACCCAGTGTCACATGTTTTACTTCGGCTACAGCCACAGTGACTCAACGTCACACGTTTTACTTCAGCTCCGGCCATAGTGACCCAGTGTCATATGTTTTACTTCGGCTCTGGCCACAATGACCCAACGTCACACATTTCACTTCTGCTACCGCCACAGTGACCCAGTATCACATGCTCTACTTTGGCTCCAGCCACATTGACTCCGGTCATTCCTTTTTCCGAGGCTACGGCCCTGATTACTTCGGTCACCAGTTATTTTGGGCATGACCATCATGACCCCTATCTCATACTGCACTACTAACTATGGCCATACATACGTATGAGTTATAAATTTTTATTTTTATTTTTATTTTTATTTTTATTTTTACTTTTGTAACTCAACTTTAATATCTTTATTTCTCTTCCTTTCTATTTATGCACTACTCCCATCACCTCCAACACCATCATTCACAAGTGAATGACTTT